ATTTCCGCTATCATACCCGCTTCCATTTCCACCGACATTCCTAACCGCCACTTCCGCCGCCATAACGTTTGCATTTATTATATATAAATAAATATTTTAAAACAAAACATATTTTTGTTTACTTATCGAATACCAAAACCTAAATTTAAAAACCATCAATACACCAAAAATGATCTTTACCACTAATTAATTAACAATAATAGTCTAAGTGCCGCTCAATATGTTATTTTAGAGACAATTAACACTCTTCGTAAATGTCTTTAAAATCTATAGCGACATTAGATTCAATGACAATTAACTAATGCTAAATGCTTTAACACTCTTTGTTAATGTACATATTTATTAACGCTAAAAGTTGTTTTTGTTGTAGTGATAAAGTATTTACTTTTCAACAAAATAATTTTTTTTAATTGCTTCTTAAAGAACCCTTACGTCATGGCTGATGCCACAATGACATCATGCAAAAAAAAAAAAACAATTTCTCAACCAAAAAAAATTGTCTTTTTTAATTAATAAATTGGTTGCTCAATTGAGTCAATAGTCATATAATTTAGTTACAAAGTCATTAACTCAACTAATTTTTACTGTCTTTTCTCTCAAATTTCTTTACAAACTCATCTCTAAGACTCAAAGCCAAAGAAAAATATAATGCTTAACTTGTTTTTTCTTAAAATGGAGTTGGGAGATGGTTGGGAATTTGGGATTATATATGCACAAATATCGAGGCTGCACCTTGCATGAAATACACTTGTTTAACTTTGACTAATGACTTTTAACCCCCCAAAAAAAACTAATGACTTAACCAAAAAGGAAAAAAAAAAAAAACTAATTTGACAATTTTTGGAAGAAAAAACAATTCGAAGTGCACAAGGTCAAATTTGTTAAATTCATAGATAATTATTTTTAAATAGATTATTTTTTTCAAAATAACTACTCTCTCCATTTATTTTTACTAGTCTGGTTTGAACTTTGCATATTATTTAAGAAATAACAATAATTGTATATAGATGTTTTATCACGATATTCATATTAATTAATGTTTAATCTTAAGTCTTGATTAATGATTTAAGAAATAAGTAACTAAAAATAGAGCAAGTGATGTTTTTAGTTTGAGTTTACTAATACTCACTCATTCTCATAAAGTAAAAATATTTTTACGAACTCATCCTTAATTAAATAATACTTATTTAATATAATTTCTCGATTACATAAAAAAATCACTTATCTAAATAGAAGTAAATTGAAAGGAAAAAATAAATATATTCTTATTATGTAAATTATCATTTATTCTGAACTAAAATGAAAAAAAATAAAAACATTACTTGTTATGAAACATAAAAAGAATTTTATACACGTTATTTTCTTGAAAACTATATCCTTTATTATATTGCCAAATAGATCTACTAAATGATCTATACAACTCTCTAAGAAAAAAATTCACTTAGAAATCGTATTATATGTGCATAATCAAGTTAAACATGAACATTTAATCTTTTTCACCGCTTCATCCAATTAGTTTGAATTGGATGCACAAATTACAAAAAATGAATATCACATGCTTGAATACAAAGATTGTAAAATGTTTAGATTCTTTCACACGATTGAGATGCACGTGTGTAGTCAAACTCTTTCATTACTTTACTTGATTATTTCAATAGAAAGCATAAATTACTTTGCACGTGCATAGTCAATTTCTTTCAGTACTACTTTGCATGTTCATAGTCAATCGATCTTTTACACGTGCATGATAATCGAGTTACATATGTATACTTTATCTCTTTCACTACTTCACTTGATTAGTTTGAACTAAATGCATAGTTTACAAAAATTAACTTTTATGCACTTGTTTTAGCTTCTTCTACACGAGTTACACGTGCATAATCAGTTTCTTTCACTATTTCATTCGTGCATAGTCAAATCTCTTTTACACGTGCATAGTCAATTAAGTTATGCGTGCATATTTAATCTATTTCACTATTTTTTCGAATTAGTAATTTATGCACTTATGTTAGGTTTTTTACACGATGCACACGTGCATAATCAGTTTTTTTTCACTACTTCATCCGTGCATAGTCAAATCTCTTTTATACGTGCATAGTAAATTAAGTTACGCATGCACATTTAATCTTTTTCACTATTTTCCTGGATTAGTAAACTGAATATACAAATTATAAAATTAAATTATTGTGCTTGTTTAGGCTCTTTCACACGATACATATGCACGTGTGTGTAGTCAAACTCTTTCATTACTTCGCCTGATTATTTCAACAACATGCAAAAATTACAAAAATCGAGTTTCACATACTTATTTAGGCATTTTCACATCATAACTATATTTTTTACCAATTATCTTTATTAATGTAAATAAATAATCAATTAAATATATAAAAATTATCTTATGACATCACATGCACAATTTTTTTTATTTATCTTAAGACATTCAATTAAATATATAAAAATTAATAATTTAGAATCGAGAAACATCATAATAGATTGACTCGAATTCTGAACTTGGTCATACTTAAGCGTCGAATTTTGAAGTTGCCTCAACATCCTCACGTGCATAATCAATTTCCTTCACTAGTTCATTCGTGCATAGTCCATCTCTTTTACACGTGCATAGTCAATTGAGTTACACATGCATATTTAATCGCTTTCACTATTTCACCAGATTAGTTTGAACTTAATGCATGGATTACAAAAATTAAATTTCATGCGCATTTTCAACTCTTTCACACGATTCGCACGTGCATGGTCAATTTCTTCACTACTTCATCCGTGTATAGTCAAATCTCTTTTGCACGTGCATAGTCAATTGAGTTACACGTGCATATTTAATTTCTTTCACTATTTCACTAGATTAGTTTAAACTGAATGTACGAATTACATAAATTGAATTGTATATGCTTTTAGGCTTTTTCACATGATTTAGATGCATGTGTGTAGTCAAACTCTTTCATTACTTCACCAGATTACTTCAACAAAATGCACGAATTACAAAAATTGAGTTTCACATACTTGTTTATGCTCTTTCACACGATTTAGATGCACGTGTGTAATCAAACTCTTTCGTTACTTCACCAGATTACTTCAACAGAATTTGACCACTTATCTTTATGAATATAAATCAATAACCAACATCCTTAAAAAAATTTAAATATTTGCAATAATTTACTTTTAGAGTAGGCATATATAAGTATATTCTTGTTTTCACAATTCATGAAAATTGATCAAACAACAAATAGGTACACCAAAAATAAAAATTAACTATGAAATATGTCATTATTTTAACACTAAAATATTCGTAATTAACAAAAAAATATTTAAGAATTCATCGCTAATTTATTATTAAATAAAAAATAATAATCTTTAATTATTTAATGATAAAATTTATTTGACACTAATTCGAGTACTCTAATTAAAAAAAAATCAAACTTCGAGAAGCTTCTTAGCCGTAATTTTCACTTAATTAATTCAAATATTGTGTTTGACCGAATCTAATAACTTTAGTCTAATTTCTTTATTATTCTTAACGCATTCATTAAATATGTACAAATTATTAATTTTGAATTGAGCAACATGAAAGTTGACCCGATTTCTGAACCTAATCATACTTATGCTTCAAATCCTGAATCCACCGCGACACCTACTCACATAAACATACACACTCTTCTTACTCTTTCTTGAACCCACCCCACCCCCACCCGCCAACACCCCCTCCTCAAGGATTGCAATAATAACACTCTTACTACATTTAATGCAACTTCACCATCTCTACTTCACACTTTTCCTCAATTTTTATTTTCTCTTCTTCATAGCTTTCTCCTCCAATTCTCAAAATCCCTCTTTTTATGTCCACACGAGGGAAGCCCTCTACTCTTTTCATTTTTAATTTGTCCTTTTTCATAAATAGTCAAACTTAGTTCATGCCCAAATCTTGACTTGTTTCACTATAAATAAAGCCCTCCCCCTATCACTCTCCACACACAAAATCTCAAAAGTTCTTTCTTTCTTTTGAGAGCTTCAATAGTAGCAAGAAAGAGCTTCACTTCACTTGTGTATGTCTATATACCCAACAAACTCATTTCTTTTTCTCCTTTTAGATGCATTTATATGTCTATATACCTAACAAAGTCATTTCTTTCATTTCCTTTTCTCCTTTTAGATGCATTTAAACAGCCAACCTCAACTGTTTGGTGCTGAGGTGTAGCTGTTGTTGTTGTACGTAGATGCATATATTTAATCGAGTTTTTGTATCATCATGCTTGTTTTAATTAATTTACACACACCATATACATGTTTATATATGTGTATGTATATATATACTTATATGGCTCCTACAAATTCTTTTACTTGTAGCATCGATGTCATTGTATTTTTTTTTTGTTTTGGTTATGGTTTTTAAGGTTGGTTGATAATCTATATAAGTATACATTATTTTTTTTTAAATCAAGAAACACATGAACAATGAGGAGTTGGGCAAGGATCCCCATATATATATATAACACAAAAAAAGAGGAAAAACATGAGTAAAACACATGGTTGGATTGCTCAAGATTTTCGTGGGAGTCATTTTAAATTATTTATTTATTTACATCGGACTGTCTTTTTTTTTTACATCAAAGATTCTCTTACAGAGACACCTACAATTAATTTCAACGGAAACAAACCTTAGTCAAATCTACCAACATCTTTTAAAATTTTTATTTTCTATTTTATGAAAATATTCGGTTTTTATTCTCAATTTTCATCATCTTTTATATTTGACACATTTCATAAAGCATCCCGACTTTACATCGGGTTAAAAAAAAAGCCATATATATATTAGAAACTGCTTCTACAACTCGAATTACATTTAATTAAAAAACAATTGACACTTTTTCTACGACTTGAATTACATTCAATTAAAAAACAATTGAGACTTTTTCATTATTTTTTTTGATGACTTTATCGTTGATTTTCTTAATTATGTTATTGTTTTAGGGTTCAGAGAGTGGAGGATGCCGGCCATACATTCCCGTCCGGCAAGTAGTATGCCACCATTGGTTGAAAACGATGGAACTAATACTGGGGTTCCGCTCGATCAGGTAAAAAAATATTTTTTTAATTTAATTTATTTATATATATCGATAATCTAGATTATTTTTCTTAAAATGTTATAACATGTTTAAGATCGCTAATCAATTTTTTTTCCCTAAAATTTATATAGATTGAAACAAAAGATGGGTCTATGATCACAAAAAAATAATGTTGACCCTTTTAAAAGTTCCAATTTTTAATGATCTCTTTTTAATTCCTATATGGTTTTCCTATTTGATTAACCTCTTCCTCCATTTTTAATGTTTGATTTGATATATTCTTTTTTAAAAAAGTATTATTTTATTTTTATTATTCATAAGTCATTTAAATATTAATAAAGACAAAGTAAGGTTCAACAAGATAAATAGTTTTTTTTTTCTATTTTCGAGTGAAAAATCCTTCTTGAAGCTTGGGAACCGTGTCAAGGACTTGTTTTATTTTATTTTATTTGTATTGGTCAACAAATAGTTGACAAAATTCCAAACATTTTCATCATTGCTTTTTTATTATATACTAAGTCAAACTAATTAAATAAATCTTTTTTACTAAAAAACTAAAAGGACTTATGTCCCTTTGCTTTTCTTCTTGTAAATTTAATTATATATACTTCAACTTGTTCTTTCTTCACTTTCTTTCAACAAATATAAAACATATAACATTTTCAAGATTTTAATTAGTTTAATTTTTATAAAATTTAATTTAATTTGTTTGTGTTATTACAGCCAAGTAACATGATGGATAGTCAACCTAATTCAATGGACAATGGATCAAACACCTCTGACACTGCAATGGCTCAAGAACTTGGTGGTGATGATCATCATGATGATCAAGAAGAAGGTGTGACTACTACTAGGAAGCGAAAGCGCTATCATCGCCACACTCAGCATCAGATCCAGGAACTGGAAGCGTAAGCATGAATTCACGAGAACCAAAAATAAATATTTATTTAATTATTATATACACTGATAGTATAACAAGATCAACTACTAAGGGTCCTTTTTTTTTTTTTTGGTGTTTAGATACTTTAAGGAGTGCCCTCACCCAGATGACAAGCAAAGGAAGGAGCTGAGCCGTGAGTTAGGGTTGGAGCATTTGCAGGTCAAGTTTTGGTTTCAGAACAAAAGAACTCAAATGAAGGTAAACTAAACTACATTTTCAATTATTTTCTTTGTAATATTTTATGTAACACATTTTTTTAGTCCGTTTAAAAAATAACACTTTTTTTTAATTATTAAAAATGGTTTTCACTTAAATTGCTCTATCTTACCCTTGATAACATGTTCTGTTACATAAATTATACATTGATTATTATATACTGTTACACACACACCTTATTTTTGGACATGAACAACCTCTTATTATGATACCCTAGATCCGCCCCTATATATATTATTTGAGTTAAAACTTGTTTGTTTTTTTTTTTTATGTCAGAATCAACTTGAGAGGCATGAGAACTCACACCTTCGTGTGGAAAATGAGAAAATGAAGTCAGAATTGTTGAGGTACAAAGAAGCTTTGGGAAATATAGGCAATATATCTTGCCCTACTTGTGGTGGTCATCGTATCAACATTGGTGATTTGTCTTTTGATGAACGCCAATTAAGGAATGAAAATGCAAGACTCAAAGAAGAGGTATGCCACTTTCACAACAAATATATTAATATTACTAATTTGAAGGTATAAAGTTTAAGCTGATCAAACTAACTTATACGAAATATTTTTGATCTATGTGTTAAGTATATAGTAAAAAAAATGCATATAGACTATAGTATATAATAAGTTAAATAAATTTGTTTGTCATATAATATATATTTTTTTATCTCTTTTTTTTATATAGATCGAACGTATCTCATCTATGGCTGGAAGAATTGTTGGAAAAAATGTATTTCCAAACAACGACAATGGTTACAACTCTCCCAATCCTGTTGATTTTGGAGTTCTTCCTGCTTACTCGACGCCACAAAGTGTCGATGGAGAGGGATATAACAATGGAGGTGGTGAATTTGAGGATGTTCCAATTCTAAGTTCAATGATTAATGGGCCAATTAGTGAGATTGAAAAACCCTTTATCATTGAACTTGTTATGGCAGCTATGGATGAGTTTGTTCAAATGGCACATTTGCAAGAACCACTTTGGTTCCCTAGCATTGAAAATGGAACATTTATGCTGAATCAAGATGAGTATTTTAGGGTTTTTCCAAGGGGAATTGGACCTAGACCTATTGGATTTGTTACTGAGGCTACAAAGGATAGTTCTATTGTTATAATGAACAATCTCAACCTAGTTGAAATTCTCATGAATGTGGTAAGTTTTTTTTTTAATCTTTTTACTTTGACGTTTAATAATATAGTTCGATTTATGTTATATATACTGTTGTGAGTCAATTTTACTTTGATTGGCGCGCACAAAACCTAAACCTTATAGTCTGTTTTCGATAGATCTTCAGCAAGAGAATTTTATAGGACTATTTACTTATATTCAAATTGTAATTGTAGATAAAATTACCTTTTTTGTTCTTTAATACTTGAATCTTCTATTAATAAGATTATACTAGCTATATCAATAACTATTAAGTGAGATTCTTATTTGCTTATTACCCCTACTTTTATGGGGTAGAAAGACTGTTTCCGACTTACTAATTGTTATGTTTGTTTTGTGATCTGTAGAATCACTGGTCCAGTATGTTCTCTGGTATTGTCTCAAGGGCTTCAAGTGTTGATGTGATATCAACTGGAGGTGCAGGAAATCCCAATGGAGCAATACAAGTGGTAATACATAATATATATATATCTATAGTTAGCATTCTCCTTACATATGTCATGTCATTAATCGTCGTAAAATATTCTTTTACACTGTGAGTATATATATAATAAATTTAATATTTCATGTTGATTTTTTGCAGATATTAGCTGAAACTCAAATTGCATCTCCACAAGTTCCAACTAGGGAATGCTACTTTGCTAGGTATTGCAAGCTCAGAGTTGATGGAACATGGGCAGTTGTCGATGTTTCATTGGACCAGTTACGCGCTGGCCCAGCTGTTAGGTCTCGAAAAAGGCCATCTGGATGCCTTATTGAAGCGGCACCAAATGGATGCTCTAAGGTACAAATATAAGTAGAAATAACGTTTACTGTTCACTTTTAACGTAACTTATATTACGCTCATAATTCCTATTAATTAACATGTTTAATTATTTTGCTTAAGGTTACTTGGATTGAGCATGTTGAAGTTGATGATTCAGCAGTGCACACTATTTACAAGCCACTAGTGAGTTCTGGTCTTGCATTTGGTGCAAAACGTTGGCTTGCTTCTCTTGATAGACAATGTGACCGTATTGCAAGTGCTATGGTCACACCTATTCCAACCAATGACATGGGTACGTAATTCTGTTCCAATTTACGTGACATACTTTATTTTTTCAATTCATCCTATAAAACGATCCATGCGTGAATAATCATACAAATATCATGACATGTTTATAATGATCAAACTATGTCACATAAATTAGACAGACAGACGCTATTTAAGCTTTTTCTTTTTCTTCTTGTTTATGTAGTGTTATCAACTCAAGAAAGTAGAAAGAGTATGATGAAATTGGCTGAGAGGATGGTTAATAGTTTTAGCTCTGGAGTGAGTGCAACTGTTGGTAATCACTGGACAACCTTGTCACAAGGAAATGGAACAGATGAAAATGTTAGAGTTATGACTAGGAAAAGTGTTGGTGATCCTGGTAGACCACATGGTGTTGTCATAAGTGCTGCTACTTCATTCTGGCTCCCTGTTTCTCCGAAAACCGTGTTCGATTACCTCCGTGATGAGAACACGCGTACCGAGGTAACACTTTTTAATTAATGTTTCTGAATAATAGAGTTTAAGTTATGTACACTGACCGACTCTGTTCATGAATGTTCTTTAATAAATATCTTTAATTTTTGTGCGTTTTTCTAAATATGTATATTTTTTGTATGTGATAATTAACAGTGGGACATTCTGTCCAATGGAGGTCTGCTGCAAGAAGTGGCTCAGATTGCTAATGGCACTGAGACAGGCAATTGTGTCTCTTTACTGAGGGTTAACGTAAGTCCTCTATCGAAATTATGTGATCATTTCATTTAAAAAGTTAAAAGCTGACATGACCTTTGACTCTGACACCATGTGAAATTATCGTGATCATTAATGTAAAATGTACTTACAAGACCTCTGTCTAGTCTGATATCATAGAAATGTATAAATATTTTGATTTTAAATTCTGAATCCGCGTTTTTGAATATTGCAGAGTGACAATGTTAACCACAGTAACATGATAATCCTCCAAGAGAGCAGCACAGATCCAACAGGATCCTATGTGATCTATGCACCAGTTGATATCAGTGCAATGAATGGTGTGTTGAATGGTGGAGATCCAGATTATGTTGCTCTGCTGCCTTCTGGATTCGCCATTCTCCCCGATGGTCCATCAGGAGGCAGGGGAGCTTATAATCATGGCTCTGGTGGATCTCTGCTGACCGTCGCGTTTCAGATTTTTGGTTGATTTAGTTCCTGTTGCTAAGCTTTCATTGGGATCAGTTGCTACTGTCAACAATTTGATTGCTTGCACAGTTGATAGGATCAAGGCTGCTCTCTTAGCACAGCCAACCTGATCGCGATCGCTGTAAGTACATATTTTTATTTTCCTCTTTATCATATTCACCAAATTCATTGTGACCATAACGTTATACTGTCAGTATATATATATATATATATACGAATAGAATATTTATACATTTTGTGTTTATTTTTTTGTTGGTTATTGCAGGATAGGGTGATAATAAGGAATAGGGGGAAGTCAAGAGCGCACCTTTCAAATTTCTACTACAAGAAGAAAGATTTTTTTTTGTTTTGGGGTTAAGAGGTTCGTGAAATGACTTCTTGTGGCAATTCCAAAGATAGGAAGAAAAAAAAAACTATGTTATAGAATAATAGGGTTTACCTTTTTTATGTTATGTGACTTTTTATAAGTCCATCAAAACTTTGTAGCATTTGGCAGATAGTTTTGTCTGTCTTTTGCAGTATTATGGTATGAAAAAAAATATGTTAAACTTTATGTGGTTTTATTTACTTTGAGTTTTTCGTCTTTCGGTTGCTTGAAATGTATATTTCGTAGGTTATGTTTGCTTATTAGAAAAGGTGGGAAATTTCCCCTTTTTATTGTGCGAAAAGGATTAATTTTATCCTTAAGTATATTTTTTGCACAGAAATATCCTTGGAGGTACTTCAGTGGCGAAGTGGTGGACACCACAATACATGACACCTCACCGATAACCCCTTCTCCTTTGCTTGTGGTTTCATTTGCTTCAAGTTTTTCCTCTTTAGTTGTTTGAAATGTATATTCCGCAGGTTATATTTGCTTATTAAGCTTTAAGGGAAAAATTCCCTTTTTACTATGCGAAAAGGATTGTTTTATCCTTTAAGTATATTTTTCGCATAGAAATATACCCTTACAGGTACTTGAGTGGCGAGGTGACGGACACCACGTTACATGACACCTAACCGACAACCCCCTTCTCTTTTATCCTTAGGTATATTTTTGGCACAAAAATATTCTTACAGGTACTTGAGTGGCAAAGTGGTGGACACCACGTTACATAACACTTCACCGACAACAACCCCTTCTCCTTTTATGCTTAGTTATATTTTTCGCACAGAAATACCCT